TCAAGATGGAGAAGAAACCTAGATTGTCGCATAAAGTGAAGAGCCATTCTCGGTAGATGCACTTATTAAAATGTTCAATTAAATGAGGCCAAACATAGTGGCCCTAGAAGAACCGGTGATTGGCAAAAAGATAATCAAGGAAATTTAATGAGTTATCAGTAACAAGAATATATGGCTGACATTCAAGCCTTCAAAACCAAATTAATGGCTTTCAATAAAGAATGTCAAAAGAAGACGAAAAAAGAAGCAGCATTAAAGACATTGGGAAACAAATTAGCAGTGTTCGAGTTAGAGCAGAATATTGACCGAGAAGTCAACAAGGTGGATTGCTTAGAAGAGGAAGTGCGTGCAAAGAACTTCGACGATGAGGTAATGAGAATCGCAAAGTCTGGGCATGCTCAAGTACAAGACCATTTGAGTAAATATTGGTGACGAAGGGGAAGATCACCCAACATTTGTCAGCCGGATGCTTAGTCAAGAGGTTAGTAGTAAATTAATCGCTTTATTAAAAGAGTATAAGGATTTTTTGCATGAGAATATAAACATATGTCTGGTTTAGATAAAAATTTGGTAGAACATAGATAACCAACTAAACCAAATTTTAAACCTCATAAATCACCGCCTAGGCGTTTTGCCCCTAATGTACATCCTGAAGTGAAGAAAGAAATATAGTGATTGTTAAAAACAGGTTTTATTAGGATAACCAGATATGTAGAATGGTTATCTATTATCGTGCCAGTGTTAAAAAAGAATGGTAAATTAAGGGTGTGCATAAATTTTAGAAATTTAAATTCAGTAACACCTAAAGATGAATATCCAATGCCTACGGTGGATTCTTTAGTATATTCAACTGCCGGACACGTAATTCATTTCTTTATGGATGGGTGTTCAAGATACAACCAAATCTACATAGTTGAAGAAGATGTACACAAAATTGCCTTTAGATGCCCTGGGGTATTATGATGCTTTGAATGAGTAGTTATGTCTTTCGGTTTGAAAAATGTAGGGGCAACTTATCAAAGGGCAATGAATTTGATTTTTCACAACATGATAGGCAAGTTTGTTGAAGTGTATGTAGATGATATAGTGGTCAAGTCTATTGAAGAGGATGACCATTTTGAACGATTGAAACGCTCATTTGAGCAAATGAGGCAATACAAACTAAAATTGAATCCGTTGAAATGTGCATTTGGCGTTAATGTAGGGAATTTCCTTGGTTTTCTAATGCATGAAATAAGAATTGAACTCGAAAAAAATAAAGCGAAGGCCCTTTTAGAGGCCAAACCACCCGGTAACAAGAAAGAATTGCAAAGATTTTTAGGCCAAGTAAACTTTTGAAGAAGCTTTATCTCTAATTGTGCTGAGCGAACGAAAGCTTTCTTGGCCCATTTCAAGCTGAAAAATCAGTACGAATACGTTTGGAAGGAAGAGCATCAAAAGACTTTTGATAGCCTGAAGATATATTTATCAAGTCTGCCAGTGTTAGTATCACCTGTCCAAGGACGGCCAATGAAGGTGTACATATTAGCTGAACAAGAATCGATAGCCGGAATGGTCGCACAAGAAGACCAATTGGTGAAGAAATGGAGATTTACTATCTGAGTAGACAGTTAACAAAATGTGAATGTAATTACTCCACTATTGAAAAATTGTTTCTTGCTTTATATTTCACATGTACAAAACTAAGGGCTTATTTACGGCCCGTAACCGTTTATTTAGCTTCTAAAGTAAATCTAGTTAAGTATATGTTTTCTCGCCCTATTTTACACCAAAGGATAGGCCTTTGGATTTTAGCATTATCGAAATTTGAAATACAATACATACCCCAAAAGACAGTTAAAAATCAAACATTGACTAATTTTTTGGCCGATCATTCATGCCTTGAAATGCCTAAAGATATTGAATTGGAGATCGATTCATTCGAATTAAAATCTTGGATTTTGTACTTTGATGGATCAAAAACCTTTAGAGGTGCAAGGGTAGAAATAGTTTTAATAAATTCCCTAGAGATTTATTATAAATTTTGTTTTACCTTGGATTAGAATGTGTACTAATAATCAAGCCGAATACGAAGCATTGATCGTGGGTTTAGAGCTGTTAGTAGATATAGGAATAAAAAATGTGATTATTAGGGGCGATTCTCAATTGGTAATTTACCAATTAATTGGTGATTTTAAATGCCAAAGTGATTCTGTCATAAGACAATATGAAATCGCTCAAGAGTTGTTGGAAGAATTTGACCAATTGGAGTTTCAATACATTAATAGGATGTATAATGATCTAGCAAACGAATTAGCCCAAATGAATTTAGGTTATTCAAAGGTTCTAAATTTAGAGTCTATGTGTGAATATGGAGTGATATTGCCCACAATAAAAAGGAGAGCGAGAAGGATTGAGGTTCATTGCATAGAAGATGGAAATGCAATAGATTGGAGGGCAAAGATTAAAAGATTCTTGAGGGAACCTGACAAAGAGAGCAATAGGAAAATTAAGTTACTCTCATTGAATAACGTATTGATAAATGATGAGCTATTTAAGAAACACTCAGATGGTATACTACTAAAATGTATGAGTTTGGAAGAGGCCAAAATGATCATGACTGAAGTACATGAAGGGATATGTGGAGCCCATCAAGCTGGCCAAAAGATGAGATGGTTGATTGTTAGGAGTTGATACTTTTGGCCTAAAATGAGAGAGTTATGCGTTTAGTATGCAAAGGGTTGTATAGCATGCCAAAAGCATGGTCCGATACAAAGAGGGCCAGTAAGAGAAATAACACCCATTATTAAATATTGGCCGTTTAAAGGTTGGGCGATAAACTTGATAAAGAAGATCTATCCCCCATCGTCCAAACAACATACGTTTATAATAATTGCCACAGACTTCTTCACTAAATGGGTAGAAGCAATACATTTAAAAGAGATCTCTCAGAAAAGTGTCATAAATTTTATTCGTGACTACATTATTTATAGATTTGGGATTCCACAAATTTTAATGGCGGATCACGAAACTTCTTTGAATGGAGATCAAGTGGAGGAATTCTTGAGCGAGTTTGGAGTTAGGTTAGTGAACTTCACACGTTATTACGTTCAATCTTATGGACAAGCAGAATCTTCAAATAAGATTCTAAAAAATATTATAAGAAAAATAATAAATGAAAATGCCAGAAATTGACACGAGTGTTTAAATAAAGCCTTATGGGCTTACAGGATGCCACCACGTTCAAGTACCAAGGTAACTCCTTTTCAACTTACTTATGGAGAAGAGACTGTGTTGCCTATAGAAATCAACGTGCAGTCAATGAGAGTATGCTTACAAAATGACTTAGGCGATAGCGAGTATGCCGAATCACTAGCCCAAAATTTATTAGAATTGGACGAGTTAAAATTGGACATCCTGGATAGATTGCAGGTTCAAAAACAAAGAATGGCTAAATTCTATAAAAAAAAAAAGTTATAGCCAAATGTTTTAGCTTAGGCGAGTTGTTTTGGAAAACAATACTCCATATGGATAGTAAAGATCCAAAGTATGTAAATGGTCACCCAGTTGGGAAAAACCATATCAAGTGAAAAATTTATTGCCTAATGGAGCCTACCATTTAGAAGATCGAGATGGTACGAAACATATGAGGTTTATTAATAGTAAATATTTGAAGAAATATGTTTCTTCCATATGTGAAAGTGAACAAATAGAGGTATAAATAAACAGTATTGTTGAGCGATTATGACAAATAAAACGAGAACGAAATACTTTCAAATAAACTCTTTTATTATCAAATATTTGTTACAAACCATGAGATACAAAATACAAAATGCTCTATAAGCCGCAATTGGAAGCAGACTATCATCATTCTTTTATCAACCACAAAGAAAATGACGAATTGGCTTCAATCGCCTTCTTAAATGCATTGCTGCAATGGCAGGCAAAAAGGCTGAGAAACACTTTCAGAAAGCAATTGGCTCTTATCTAGAACTCTTTCTGGAGATCATAAATGGAGGAGGTACTGAGAATACCTTCATTGACCAAAGAACATTTCTTATATATCTCATACTAAAGATAATATCAAGACAGAATGTGAAATGGGGAACAGATCAAATGATCCATTTATGTCGAAGGAGGAAATAGTTGATCAATTATCTGAATGCCAAACGATGGCAAGTAAGCTGATTTTGTGGAGAATGAAGATAAAGATGACAAAATGTAACACATACGCATTTGTAGAAGTGTGAATGTCAAAATATAGAATATGAATGGCCACTTACATGCACAGTAATCGGAACTAAATGGCCCAAAATCATGGAAAAGAAAGTCAGAATACCAAAAGTTTTGATCCGTGTGAAGATTTCACGAGGGGACAGGTGCACGAGTTTTGCACAAGGTTAATAATTAAATGCTTGGGGTATTGACGATTGAAGTAAACGTAAATTATACTATTTCTGAATCCATACAAAAATCATTACACAAGTAAATAAAAATTCATTTCATTAATGACATTGGTTGCCATTACAGTTAAATTAACAGTAACTGTCAGCACAGAATTACAAGAAAAATAAGGCATTAATATCTTAATTACAGTTCGCCCCAAGCATAAAGTATCTGTTCCCCAAGTTTCCCTCATTCATCGCTCTGTTCAGAAGAAGCAGTGGATAACTCAGTCACAAACTCCTCGTCAACTTCCAGCTTTGTATAACCACTACAACAAAAACAGCATACGGCAACGTTCAAAAAACGTTGCCGTAGACCTTTTGCAACGTTTGAACGTGTGTTGCAAATCAAGGTGTTGTCGTAGAATAGGACCCCTACGGCAACGTTCTTTTGAACGTTGCCGTAGGGTTTTTTTTTTTAAAGCAATTTATGCAAATTGATTGGTAAAATTGAAAATGACTCCTTATGAACAAATTTTGAAATTGCATAAAATTTGATAATTTCATTACAAATTTTTGAATTCATACACTTGAACATTAGAATGTGATACAACAACACCTAAATAAAAAGGAGCTTCAAAATGAAATAAAATGGTAATACAAAAGGAGCTTTTTGCTGAAATTACATCTTCTCCTGAGGATTTTGGGTTTTGAGAATCTTGCAAACTTCCTTGAGTATTTAAATCCTGCATCAGAATATTCAGCTTCATAATGGAGAAAGTTATTGAGGGAAGATGAAAGGACAGGCTAGCAAAATAATAGATGCCTGAACTGTGCGTACATGCAGAATTTATGCAGTTGATTGTTAGCCATAAACAGCTTCCTCAATTTATTCTTTAGCTGATTCCCTTTGTAAGAGTTGAAACTGCCCATTTCACCACAATATTTGAAATGCAAAATAATTACACTCATACCTTGGACTTTATTCTTATTTTGTTCTTCTTCTTCAATTCCTGCATTCTGCAAGATCTGTAAGTTGCCAGGAGAGCAGCTCATTAGATATGCTAATCTTAGCAGTAATGAGATCTCACATCTAAAGGGAGAGATGTAACTTCACATGCATGACTTCAGGTAGGGATTTCATTACCTCAACCAAGTTTCCAAGACGCATTCTCAGCCTCCGGTGTATAAAACCTCTAGTGCTCTGTTTAAGACTAAATATTAGTTCCAGGATGCAAGCAACTCTGGTATTCTATAGCTTATGAATGTGCATTACCTTCACATGATATTTCACGAATGTATAGAAGTTCAGTAGGTTCCACACAGTCTTGTCTAGTTTCTTTCCTTCCACGTGATGGAACGTAATATCTTAAAGAGTCGTGGTAACAGGACTTGGATAAGTTGAACCAAAAGCTTGGAAACATGGGGTAAAAAATGCTACGACTATTCACTGTTAATTTGTTGTAAAAATAATAAAAGTAAAAATGTAATACCTAAAGAAACGAATCCTCCATTGGTGCTCAGATCTTCAATGGGTTCTCCTCTTAACTCTGGAGGTGGTATCGGCGACCAGATGCAATGAGGCACCTTAGCACATGCTCTAGTACTTCCAACAACCACAAAATCCTGGGAGAAAATATTCAGTTACTTAATGAAATCGTCTTTGGCCAGGCATACCATATTAAGAGTAATAAGAAAATTAGAAATAAATCAAACACAAAAGTAAAGACATAGCACCTTCACCACTTCTATAGACATCTAAGTTGAAACAAACTAGATAAACAATGACTTTATAAATGCCAGTCACTCATTCGAGTTACCTGCTACACCTATAAAACAAAAATGGTCCTAAGGATGCCAAGAACACGCCCATCAAAGCAAGAAGACCAAAACCAGCTGTTAATTTTGGCAGGTTTGATGCTGCATCCAGAAACTAGTAACAAATGTTCTCAAGTGTAATAATTAGACTTACAATGCTAAATAAAAATGAGAAGCATAGTCAGGATAAGTTTCATCTTATGTTTACTTCAACATTCACAAGCTTCATCTTATGTTTACTTCAACATTCCAACACAACACTGCCCAAACATTCCAACCATTCCAACACAACACTGCCCAAATCTGCCCAAACATTAATCCAAATCAGACACCAATCCAATCCATTCCAACACAAATTACACAACACCGCCCAAACCTTCTTCACAGAATCAGAATTGCAGTCCCACAAATTACAGTCCATAAATGATAAATAAACAAATCCACAAATTCATCAAAAAGTTTGAACACAACACAATTGCACAAATACTTTGAACACAACACAATTGCACAATTACTTTGAACAAACGAAAAAACAAATTGCACAAATAGGAAGAGGCGAAGAGCTGCTGGACACTTACAGTAGCTGGACTTACAGTGGCTGGAGTGGGCTGCTGTCGAAACGTGGAAGAAGTCTACAGTCACTGGAGTGAGCTGCGGGCTGCGGTCGATTGTCGAAGAGTGGAAGAAGTCTACAGTCGATGAGTGGGCTCAAGGCTGCTATCGAAAAGTTGTGGGCTACTGTCGCCTGTCGAAACGCCGGCACCGAGGCGACTACGAGTTGAGGGCAACTGACGGACTGAGGCTGAGCTCCTGGTTGCTGTGAAGGGCGAAGGCGGAGGCAGGGGCGGGAGGGGTTGAATTCAGGGGAAATCAAAATGGGAGAATATTGAGTCATGGGCTGGGGTATTATGTTTTTAGAATGGGCCGGGTATTTTGTTTTTGGAATGGGCCACTGGGTAGGTTGTATTGGGCCAAGTCTTGGGTTGGAGTAAATTAGTTTTTTAAAAAAAAATTGTAAGCTAAATCGAATATTATTGTTGGGTTGAAATTGATGGACTCAATGATTAAATGGGTTAAAATACCTTTTGCAACATTTATCAAAACGTTGCGAAAGGTCCTACTTCTAGCATCGTTTACAAAACATTCTGAAAGGTAAAGACCTTCCACAACACCCAATAAACGTTGCGAAAAGTGGTCTACCGTAACATTTTTCAAAAAAACGTTACTAAAACTCATTTATATTAACCTATGGCAACATTCACTTACGAAAATGTTGCCAAAAGACCATTTTGTCAACATTTATCAACAAATGTTGCCTTTTAAATGTTGCTAATGACTATTTTTGTTGTAGTGAACGCTCGACCAGAGACTTGGTTCACTCAACTCCTTCGGAAGCATTACGTCTCTTAGCAATTAATCTGACCCTGCAGTCGTCCATCTTTACTTGGAGTTTCTTCATCTCTACAGCCAGACTTATCATCAAAGAGTCTTCAACCATGACTTCAGAGGAGATTTCATTTAGATCAACCCTAGCCTTCTCAATATCTTGAAGCAAAGACTCCTTTTCGATTATAGCATGGAAATACTGAGTACTCTTGGCCTTCAACTCGACATTCCTGGTTAGCAAAGAGCTTATCTCGGAGTGGATAATCTTCAATGTCAGCTTAAAGTCAGATGAAATATTAAGCGAAGGAAGCTCAAGTGTTTGAACCATTTTTGCACTCAAAAGCTCGAATTTATCTATTTGTTTAGCAGCACTAGCTTTGCCGATATCCATATCCATGAAAGGAATGTATTCAAGCACTGATTGCTTGAAAACCTTCATATTTTCTTTCGAGATTGCAGTAGATAAAGCAGAAGGACGACTGGTTGGAGAATGACGAGATGTCTTTACTTGATCCCAAAAGGTGAACAAGTCTTGGATGGAGCGTAAAGTGGTGTCGTGACCTATAAAAAAAATTACAAGCATTTAGCATTTTCGTTGTAGTAAATGAAGTAAAGATGAAAGATGAAACAAAGGCTACCTCATCAGCAACTTTGGGAAGTCGGGGACATCGCTAGTCACTCAGCCACTTGTGGAGATTTTCCCTTGTCTAGACGAATAGGCTCTGCCACAACGGGTAAGCTCATGGGAACCTCTACAAAATTCAAGTAGCAATAGGTAGAAGGCCAATAGTACAAGCAAGAAAAAGATCATAAGATGTGAATTACCTTCTGGTTTAACACGTGGGGAGGTCAACGCCCTGGGAAGGTGGCAGCTCTCCAGCTAGCTATGGTGAAGACCCTGGGACCATGGCTTTCTCTTTAGGCAGAGCCCTTGCATCAGATGACTTGGATGAAGCTGCTTCAGTAGAAGGTGATTGAGCAGGGGCTGCTAAAACCAGAGCCTTCGAAGGAAAAGTTGAGCTCTTCTGGAAAAATTCAGGTAAAGCATTAACATATGAAGGATTGTTTTTCAAGAATAAACAAGCTCAATTACCTTTTTCCCGACGATGAGGGGAGTATCATCATCATCACCTTGCAAAATTGGAGAAGCTGAAGCTGGCCTTTTGCGGTCGGAAGTGCCTTTGGCTGTACTAGCTTGAACATGAGGGGAAGCAGATGAAGGAACAATATGTTTAACGTGAGCATGCGAAGTGGGATTCTTGAAAGACACGGGAGTGGCAATAATAGGAGATGAAGAATAAGTTGTTGGCCATTCTAGCAGGTGGAAAGCACGGTTGACTTCAGAAGCGAATAGCCTACACTTTACAGACGGCTAAAATTGTTCAAAAAGAGGATGATCAGCAGAAGTAGGATGGAAAGGGGCTAATGAGAAGCTAGTTACCAAAAGAGTATTATAGGCATCAATGGATTGTGCCTCTATTTTATTAATAGTATGGAAACAATCAATCAGGCTTTTGGAAAAGCAAAGAAGAACTGGCCATGTTTGGCCAAAGCCAAGCTGACGAGCGAAAAATTGGGGAGCATATATCTCGACCCCAACTTTGGCATTTGTTCCAGTCAAGATATCATGGAATAACTCTTTCCCATGCAAAAATTGTGCCCAAATGGGCAAAAAGGTGCTCACGTCATCCATGGTAGACAGAGGTTGCACATAATTTGGAATTGAATGAGCAAGAAAAGGAAAAAAAATGAAGTGATTGAATCGAAATTATAAAAGAAGGAAAAAATGTCCCTATTGGACCTATTTAAATGGCTCAATTGGTTGATGGTTAGCCCGTAACAGCTAGTGGATTGAAGAGGAGTAGATGGAACACCGAGTTGTGGAAATTATGCTCTCAACCACAATTGAGCGAGCCAAAGAGGCCCACTATCAGTGGGAGATGCACCATTCTTCAATTGAAATTGAAGGGAAGCCATGCCTCTATAAAAGGCGGCTAAAAATAATGAACAGAGATTCAAAGGCCTACCACGCGCTAATTCATACTCTATGGGTAGATAACTCATAGAGGGCTTCATACTGGGCACATAAAGGACATATTTATAAAGCCAAACTTGAAGAAAGACCACACGCCCATCATAGGAAAGTTCAGCGCTAGAATTATTATACAGTCCTTGCATGCCTGAATAGGACTCAGTAAGTTTTTTGTCAAATTTTGGGGCAGTGCCAGTATCCAAAACGCCAGGAAAAATGGTATCGCCCAAAGGCGGAAGGTTTACTAGGGTTTCAACGTCCCTCAAGGTAACAGACATTGGGCCAAGAGGGAAAACAAAAATATTGTACTCAAACGACCAAAAAGTCAATGAAATTGGAAAAAGCACCAGGTCATAAATTGGGGGATGAAGAGCAATTTTTAACATATCATAAATCCTACCATGATAAAAAAAATTACCTTGGTGGGGCCATGATTTACCATACGTACATGCTATCTACGAAAAATAGTATCAGTTTTGGGCCAAGTGCGAGTTGGCCTCAACAGTAGAGAGTTCAGAAAAGGAAGTTCTTGAGTACATGAGAATAGCTGACCCATTGCCGCTTGCCCAACTAATTCAGTATCATTAAATGATAGGCCTAAATAGAATTCCTGAAGGTCAGGGTTGGCTGGTGAAAGAAAAGTCGAATTGATATACGGCCTAGTGAGGAGGTTTTGAAAATCTTCGAAGTTAAGGGAGTTGTTAGAAGGGCTTTGTGGAGTTGCCATTGACTGCAAAGTACAATTTTCGTAAGGGATTGTGAGAAGCGTAGCGGGGAAACAAGAAAATAAACAGTGATTGATATGGAGGAAGAAACGCGAAGACGTGGGTATAATGTCGAGATGAAATAGTGTGTCCCTTGGTTTATATGAGTTACATGGTGTTCTATGGTGTTACAATTTTAGAAATATAGAGAGTTACCACCAAATGAAAATAATGATTGGGATTATCAGCATTTTTTCGAGAATGCAAACATTGCTAGAAAATAAAAAGGAAGAATAAGGCATAAGATTAATATTTGATATTAATTTTGCCATATTGGAGGGTAATTGTTGATACACAAAAATGAGGCCCAATTAAAATATTCCAAGAAGTGGAGCCCAGTTGAGGAATTTGAGGGATATGCCCAAATAAGACCATTGTGAAATACAGTGGAGGCCCATAAACGGAGGACTATCATCGCCCAAGCCTACAAGACGTCCAGGATCTGAGCGAATGAAATGTCTTATTGCTGCTCAGAGCTACTGCCTCATTCTCGCCCAAGCCTTCGAAGACGCCCAAGATCTGGGCGAACATAGTGTCCCATTTAAGCGACGGTTATTGAATCAGTTTTTGAGCATTCTTATCACATTCCACGATCCAAGAATCTCGGTTGCAAGCAATTAAAGAGAGTAGAGGCAGCAGTTTAAAAACGGCAGTTTCTTGACACGTCAGCCATTATGAATCAAGTGGGTAGTTATAGAGCGACGAAAAGTTTCCAAACAGTTTCACAAGAAAAATTGGTGAATGAGTATAAAAGAAAAAGAAGATATAGAAAGAAGACCCGAATCAATCACTCTCTTTATCTCTTATACATTAAAATGAAGAAAAAGAATAGCGGTTGAAAGCTTAATGAAACACATGAACACGAGTAACCTCCGCATGACAAAGAAAAAGTAACGTTAGAAGTATTTATTTCGTGTGTACTTTGAGATTTTGTCTCAAAATGTTTGTTCCTTATACAATCGTCTGAATCATCTTTTAATTGTTAGCAATGTTCGATAAATCCGCTCGAAACAGTATGAAGAAGATATATATCATTCTGAACAGGGACAATATTTTGCTAATGCAGTCAACCATATTTCGTTTAGTCATCGATCTCGTACTCAGCTATTTTTCAACATTGGTTTACACTTGTCTTTCATTTATTGGAATCAGCCTCAAGCTAGTCTCTGTGTCAAACTTGTCCTTCCACTATGACTGATTTGGTGTGTGTTGCCTTTGGCCCTCACTAATTGGTCTTCTCAAGAACTCGGCCTATTTAATCATTTTCTGTACGAACTCAAATGTTCTTGATCTGACTAAATGATGTTTCTTTACATATTCAAGTTTAAATAAGAGACCAGAACAAGAAAATACTTGCAAAGAAGAAATCAGATAAAAATAAAATAAAAAATGTATACATGTCTAGAAAATTATTGTTTCAAAAAGAGAGAAAAAAAAAAGTACATCACTCCCTCCACAAATGCCCGACTTCTAGCAATTAAACTACTTTTAGGCAAGAAGAGCAGTGTTGTGACTTGTACCAAAATGATATAATATTACACGACCAAAGTCTATACGTTCATGCATCTTTCAGAGTTGGGCTTCAAACCAGACCAGAGGCTCCATCGACAGATTTTCGTGTCCCAGGAAATCAGAGGAGGATAAGGAAAGGAAAATTGAGGTGGGACCCAGATACACGATATGGCAAAGATAGACAAATCTCCCATGTGAAACGCGCATCACACTGTCTATACAAAACCGCGTGGCCCCATCGATTTATATGCCATTTTAGTCCACAACTCATAAAACCCGCAAAAAGAAAAACAAAAGCAATTCTCAAAGTCCTTGAATTCCACAAGAGAAAGTATAGTGTTGAACTTTGTGCAAAAAGCAGTAAACTTTTCTTAGCTATCTACAGACATCCTTTAATGGGATGGAGGGAGAAGGCAGCAAGGAAAATGCTGAATTGGTGACGGAAATGGTGGAAGTGATTGAGAAAGTTGGATCATATGTTGGGTTCAGGATGACTCAGAGGAAAGAGTGTTTGAATTTAGTGAGGAGATTGAAACTTTTGGTGCCTCTTTTGGAAGAGATTAGGGAGCTAGATTCTGACGATGCATTGAGCTGCTTATTGAATTTGAAGAATGCACTGTTTGCTGCTAAGAAACTACTCAAGAGTTGTAATTCTGGAAGCAAGATTTACCTTGTTGGTCCTCTCTCTCTCTCTCTCTCTCTCTCTCTGTGTCAAGATTTTATATAAATTTTGCTGTTTTGAATATTTGATATTTTCTATGGGATATTTAGGCTCTTGAGAGTGAGGCAGTGAGGAGGAGATTTCATGGTGTTTATGAAAAGTTAAACCAGGCACTTAATGAAATGCCGTATAAAAAGCTTGGGATCTCAGAAGAAGTCAGAGAGCAAGTAATGAAATTACTCCCAATTTTCTTTTCCTTTTTTCAATTGTGCCTCTAATTGTACTACTGTCTATTCAATTCTGCCTAAATCTAGCAAAATGCTGCATAAAAATATTCTGCTGTTATGAATCTGTCTACTTAATTTAGGCACCCAAATTTGGCTAACATCGACTTGACAGTATTTTGAACAAGATTCTCTCTTAACTGTCTCGTATTATTCGATCCACCTTATCAAACGCGACATTAGTATTATTCAATTCATGTAAATACACAGGTATGGAACATAATTAAGGATCTGATATTGTTACATAAAATCTCTGTTGCGTAGATTTGAACCTTTCTACTCTAATTTATTCTTTTAAGTCTTTTTCTTCAAAGGATAAAGAGTAGTTTTGTGCTGATTGTTATAGATGGGGTGCTTAGACATTAGGTTCAAACTTGATTGACTCTGTTACCATTTTTCCCTGCGGAATGTCATAATTGTCAATTTCGACACATTTTGGGAAAGTATATTATAAAAAAAAAAAAAAAAAATTTATATATAATTTAGCTTAAATAGAACTTTGATGTCAAAATTTATGTCTTCGTATATTTTTATTAGTGGGATTAAAACTGGCAGCTATATTATGGTAGCCGCAGTCTGTGTATATTATAGTTATATATGATATGTGCAGGCAGTTTCCATTAAAGCTTTCATTTGCATTTCTAAATCATGTTCTAAATTTGATTTTTGGATCTCTTCAGGCTGAACTAATGCATACGCAACTCAACCGAGCGAAAAGGAGGACAGAAACACAGGATATGGAACTTGCAATGGATATGATGGTTGTCTTTTCAAAAAATGATGATCGAAGTGCAGATGGTGCAATCATAGAGAGACTAGCTAAGAAATTGGATTTGCATACTGTAGCAGACCTCAAAACAGAAACTGTGGCAATTAAAAAACTTGTTAAAGCCAGAAGTGTGCACAATCCAGAGACCGTCCAGCAAGTCGAAGATCTTCTTGAGAAATTTAAGCAAATAGTTGGAATTGAAGAGAGTGGTATACTTGATTACTCTGTGTCATCAACAAGTTTAGAAAGAAGCAAATCTTTGTTAATCCCCCACGAATTCCTCTGTCCAATAACTCTCGAAATAATGACCGATCCTGTTATAATAGCTACTGGACAGGTAATCTGTGTATCTACTTTTTAAAAGGATAATGGTTGATTTCTTATTTTCCACTTTTCTTAAATTGTGTGGTATTTACATTTCTCACTTTACTTAAATTGTGTGGTATTTACATTTCTACTTTGCTCTAGACTTATGAACGACAAAGCATACAGAAGTGGTTAAACTCTGGTCGCAAAACCTGCCCGAAGACTGGGCAAACGTTGAATCACTTGATACTGGCCCCAAATTTTGCCCTCCACAATCTTATTCTGCAGTGGTGTGAAAAGAATAATTTTGACCTCCCTATAAAGGATGCTTGCGATGGTCCAGACCCTTCATCTTTTGCACTCATTGAAGAAATTTCTTCCTTGATCCAAAATCTATATTCTTCCCAAGTGGATGTGAAGAGGGAGGCTATTTTCAGAATTCGTACTATCTCCAAAGAGAATCCCGACAGTAGAGTTTTGATTGCTGATGGTGGAGGAATTCCCCCTTTGGTTCGCCTCTTGTCAAATAAAGATTTTGAAATCCAAGAACACACAGTTACAGCTCTTTTAAACTTGTCACTTGACGAGGCAAACAAGAGACTTATAGCTGGAGAAGGAGCTATTCCTTCTATTATTGAAGTCTTGCAGAATGGAACGGAAGAGGCTAGAGAAAATTCTGCCGCAGCGTTATTCAGTTTATCAATTCTCGATGAGAACAAAGTCCTCGTGGGTAGCTTGAATGGAATCCCACCTTTGGTGGATCTTTTATGCACCGGGACAACTAGAGGCAAAAAAGATGCTGCAACTGCACTCTTTAATTTGGTACTCAACCCAGCAAACAAATCCCGAGCTGTTAAGGCAGGTATAATACCAGCATTGCTTCGTCTACTTGAAGATAAGAACTTGAGCATGGTTGATGAAGCCCTTTCCATTTTGTTACTTATTACATCACATCCTGAAGGTAGAAATGAAATTGGGAAACTATCGGTTATTCAAAATCTGGTTGAAATAGTAAGAGATGGGACACCCAAAAACAAGGAATGTGCTACGGCAGTTCTCCTTGAGTTGGGTTCAAACAGTTCGTCTTGCTTGTTGGCTGCACTTCAATACGGTGTTTATGACTATTTGATTGAGATTACAAGAAGTGGAACCAGCAGGGCGCAAAGGAAAGCAAATTCCCTTTTGCACCTCATGAGTAAGTGTGAACACATTCCCTTTGTTTCCCCCAAGTCGTAGGATTTGCGACGTGTACTTGTTCTTAATCCATATGTAAATTCACACTGCCTTCGAAGTTTTTGTCCAAAGGAGGTGATGTTAATGTTCATGTTCCAATACATACATTTGCATGTTTCTTCACTATGATAAGATGGGATTCTTTATGGAATTTGATGTCTTAGTAGCATCTAGTCCTCTTACCAAATATGCCAACAAAGCTGGATTGCTAGCATATCTGGATTTCTGTTTGATAAGCTAATACATATTCCCAAAATCAATTTTCTCTTTGTTTGTCCACTAATTTAGGCTTCCAAAATCAGATTAATTATTTTACCAAATGAGTAAAAGCAATTTGAATAGGTTCAATAATTGCTTACATCCTTGTGGCCGCGCTCAGTTATTGAATAATCTACTTGGTTAAAATAGGTTACAGACATAAATATATATATAAAGCATCCTCTTTAATTTTGACGGTATTGAGTAGAATCACTTCTTCAACTTGTTGAGCGAGCACGACTTGTCTTGTTCATTTGAAGTTGATGAACTGTTGCAAATCTTCTTCTCCGAAGGAACGGAGAGACTTCTCTCAAAGCTCAAAAAAGATGATTTCCAAAATGGGATAAATTCTATTTGCAGTAACTATACTTTGACTTTGTTTCAATTAGGTGACAACACTTCATTTTGTTCAATTAGATATCTACAGTTTAATTTCATTTTTAAAGAATGTAATTTCTTCTATTCCGTCACTTGGAATGATGAAAATCGATGACCTAGTAGTCAATAAATGATGCAACTAATAGCTACATATAATAACCATAGTGTATTGCTTATCGCGTCTTCGATTATCATTAGTGCAATTGAACAAAGTTATCTTAGTTGAAACCAAATTATTGAAATCAAGTGTGATTAGCGGATTGAAATGTTACCTGATTGAACACAATTAAATTATAGTTACTTGATTGAACTAAAAGTAAAGTTTAAATATATGAATTAAATTTACACGTTTCCAAACACAAGGTGGAGTTTTTGGCGTATGTTTGATTTTTAATTATACATTGGGGACTCATTTATAATCTTTTGAAATTTTGGAACTATGATTCTAATTTGTTCTTTATTTTTTTCTCCTTTCCTTTCGTTTTATTTAAATAAGAGGATGTTTTCGTCATTTCACAACTTCTAATTGAAAAAATAAATGAAAAAATGGGGGTGAAAATGCGAAAATTTGAAATGTAAGGATGTTTTACACACTAAAGACCAAACGTATGAACGTTTTGTGCTAATAAGCCAAATAATAATTGCCAAATCCATTCTAACTTGTACAAAAAGAAAAATTCCTATAAAATAAAATCATTCCTTCCGAATGTCTTCTTCATTGCTCTTACGTTTCTAGGTTCTTCACCATCGATTCTCTCTTCAACCTTTCTCCGAATCATTTAAGGTACAATTTCTGCTAATATAATGTATTTCCCCCAATTTTCTATAACTGAATTTGTCAAAAAATTAGTAGTTTTTCTCACCTTTTACTGAGGATGCTATTTATTTCTTCCTCATGCCCGTCTCCATTGGAAAGGGGAATTCATTTGCTGTATAACTCGACTCTGTCACAAAGATCGAGATCTATTTCCTACAGATAGTTGGTGATCTACATATATGGGTTATGCTATGGGTACATTACATTTAACAGTTGAGGATTGTAAACATAAAGATGCACATGATATTTGCAAGCACAAACATGAAACTAAAATAAAAAATAAAAAAATAGTAGCACATTTCTTATGTCAAAAGAGAATCGAATAATTAATAATACCAATTGTTCCCCATAAGATTGATCATCATTTTGAAATTCCTTCCCCTTAGTTACAAAATTCATGCATATCACTTGGGACAAGATAAGATGTCAATATAAGTTTAAATGAAGGACTTTATTGTTTAAAAGAATATCACAGCCACGTTGCAAGGGAAATAAACTTATTATTTAGCCCATGTTTGATCGTGATTAAAATTAGATTTTTCATTCTTGATCCACATTCAAAGAGACAATCACACACTATAATTTGTAAACTACCAATTCTTTTGGCTCGATAATGGACTTAAAAATAAATTAATAATTTTTTAAGAATAATTCTGAAAATTAAATAAGATTGCTAAATTAATAACATTTTGATACTTTTTAGCAATACTAGTTTTTACCCGTGCAATGCACGGATTGTGTTATTTTTAAGCCAATATTAGCGTTTTGAATATTAAGATGAAATAGGAGATTGTATTTCGAATTTTCCATCATAGAAAGATTTAATTGGTTTGATTTAATTCAACTTCAGATTTTGATTTCCTGTCGAATTGAAGAAGTTGTTGTTGTGAAATTGAAGTTACCGATTTTTCACTGGCCTCTGCGGGAAGTTAAATCCGCATTGTGTGGAGTGGCACTCCTCATAAAAAGGAAAAAAAAAATTTGGTGAAGACTCCATATTGTGCGGAGTTGAGTTCCGTATAATGCGGAGTTAGAACACCGGACAATGCGGAGTTGAACTCCGCACTATGCGGAGCTCAGTTCAGCACAAGTGCGGAGTTGGAACTCCGCATAATGCGGAGCTCATCTCCGCACAAGTACGGAGCTCAATTGTGTGGAGACACTCCGCATTGTGCGGAGTTCCAACTCCGTACTATGCGGAGCTCATCTCCGCAAAAGTGCGAAGCAACTCCGCATAATATGGAATACGTGGAGCAAATCAATTTTTTTTTTTTTTACGTGCTAACACTAATTTATTTCAATCTAATAAAAATATATAAAATTAAATTATTAATAAGTGAAATT